TGAAATCCAGACCGATGGTAGCCCCTTCTTGCATATTCAATGACTGGAGTTTGTCCAAACCTGTAGAGGTTTTGATTTTCCACCCTCCCCTCGAGGACTGGCTTGTTGGAGTGGAGGTCTGTCGCCTGAAATCTTAATGTTGTATTCCCAAAGTCACTGGTATGGTCCTCCATTATGTTAGAAATGATGTTCATAACCAAACTGTTCATGGATGGTTTGGAGGAGTTCCCCTTGGTGGATGGTTGGGTACTATTCTTTATTCATTGCTGTGGTCTGTGACTAAGCCCACTCCCCCACACTTACATGGTCTCAGCACGCATGTGTGGCATGCACATGTCTCCATTTCACTGGGCCGTCCCTAAAGGACCATTGTCCTGGCCATTTCAGGGACCAACTGAGTACCTAAACTGGGGCATGTGTCAGGATCTGACTAGGACTGAGCACACAGCAGTGTGAGTTTGGATGTGGCATCTTATGACCCAAGCACGGAGTAACTGGCACTGGGTTTAAGCAGGCACACAGTTAACATAGGAGCCATGGCACGCAGCTCAAAGGGGAACGAGAGAATGCTGTGGCTCCAGAATAATGAACGAGGACTTACGGGAAGTCGACAGGACTAGTAGACTTGACTGGAACTGCATGAGTTCTGGACCTGAACCTCAGGAAGCGATCGGCATGCTAATTGAGCCGGGACGCCGAAATGATGACAGAACCCTGAGCTGAGACGCCGACTTCCTGTTATACTCCTGCGCTGATGACATGGGCAGAAAGTTTGGGCATGATGGGTAATGAAACTTGATGGGTAGTGGAGTCCTGTGACTGAAAATAACTTGTGTGAAAAAGTGGGCTGCAGGCTGGTTACTGAAGTTCTGGGGCATGTTTGGGTCTTTGGTGGAAAAATTCAAGGGAGATTAGGCTGGGAGTGGAGGTCCAGGGGCAGAACGTGACAGTGTGTACTCAAAAAGGCCCGGTAGAGTCACTGGAAGAGACCAGGGGCCTCATTTATCAAGCTTGCTTACGCACAAAATGGGGTCTGAAAACTGCATAAGCAACTTTCCACGCAAACTTTGGGATTTATGAAAGAAAACTTAGAGGAAAAATGTGCACAACTTTAAGTTGACCAATGACCTTGCTTACACACATTTTGGACATGGAGATCACATGCAGTGCTGCTGCTGAGAAGGATAAAATTATGAAATCTTGTAGCATTATCACTTGTACTGCTTCGTTTTCACACAGAACAAGACCCCCGACACTCACACGAGCGCGTACTCACACAAGCGCGCACACTCTCTCTGACACACACACGCGTGCACACACACACACACACACACAGCCTGAATGCGCAGAATACGGAATGCAGAATATCAGCACGGGGACAGATTGAGACAGAATGTCATGCGTCTGTGACAGTGTGTGTCCTGGCACTGTGACCCGATTGATCATGCGCCCTGGCTAATTGAACAGGGGAGATCTCTGTTTGGCTGACTGGTTAGCGAATGTGACTTTCACCTGGGAGTCTGGGTATCGAATCCCGATCGGACCATTTATTTTTATATTCGCCACATATCTCTGAAGAATTCACAACATTGACGGCTTCAGCAACGTTGTGCCACTCCGTGGATTTTTTCTTATTTGTTTTGCAAAAGCACTTCCTTTCATTTCTTCACCTCACCCACAGGTACCTCAATTTCTGCTTCTGTGAAATTGCGCTTCCTTGATCTGCCTTGATCTAAGGTCACCATGTCATTGGCGGAGCGCTGCAACAGCCGGCTAATGCATGAGATCCACAAGACACTTTGTATTGACTATTTATGGCAGTAAGTGGACGTGGTGACTAAAATGCAGCTGAGAAACATTCTCATTAGTCTCCGATTTATGAAGCGGATATTGTGTGCAGCTGTGCATACTCCATGTTTAATAGATCACAAACCTGCTTGGCGTAAGTACTTTTTTTTTTGCTGAGCTTAAGTACGGTTTTAGTAAGGATTCTACGCAATGTTTGATAAATGAGACCCCTGCTGAGTGTCCTGCTGTCGAGTTCCAGTGTCCCGCGCCTGCTGCTGTTGAGTTCCAGTGTTCCAAGTTCCCGAGTTCCTGTTCCAAGTCCGAGTGTTCCTGTTCCCAAGTCAAGTGTCCATGTTCCCGAGTCAAGTGTTCCTGTTCCCGAGTCCGAGTTCAAGTGTCCCGAGTCTCCAGTGTTATGTGGCTATGTGGGCGTCTGGTATCTGCCCCTTGGGGGGGGGGGGGGGGGACTGTCACAATCTGCTCCTGCCTCCCTGACTGTGTCTCTCCCCTGCCCTTGATTAGTTCCTATTGGTTTCGCCTGCCCCTTGTGTACCTGCCCATGTGTTCCTGATTGTTTCCTTGAGTATTTATACCTCCCGTCTTGTTTGAGTCTTTGTCGGATCATTGTTTGTTGTCAGCGTTGTTTTCTTCTGTCGTTCCCGCTCTGCCATTAAAACCATTTTTATTTTATCCGTGCCTGCATTCCTGCCTCCTGATCTGTTCCACCACACATGGTATGCCGTCATCCACCCACGCAACATGACAAGGTGTGAGATTTTAGATTTCAACCCACTTTTTTCTCAGCATGAACAAGCAGCTCCGTTGCAGGAAGACAATGAGCAGTTGTCCCACTTTGCTCTCTTTATTCAGTTATTTAATTAGACCACTTCCAGGTCATTTTTCTGTGTTAGACAGTGCTGCCTCCCATCTGCAACAAGCTCTACTCATGAATACTATAAATACACCCTAATATGTTATCAATACGCTGCTGGAAAACACACACCCACTGTGTGATGTAGACCCACTTGGTCTGAGTATTAAGTTATCTTTAAGGGCTATTTATGCAGTATATCTACGTACCTTTGGTTTCAAACTGGAAATTTAAATTGGTAATATTTTATTTGTATCAAAAGACAGATTAGAGATAGAATTTCAGATTGGGATTAGAGACAGAGTTAAGTCTAAGAGATGTAAGAACGTCTACATGCTTCAGTTATAGAAGTGTTTTTCTGTGTGTGAAATGCAGAATAAATGTATGTGGCGAGGTTGGGTACATTTTACTGGGTGGCATGTGAAAAACATCTTTTTGTCAAAATACTGTACGTTTAATGGGATTTTTTATCACAATTCTCAAGGACAACGTCAAGACAGTAGTATAGCCACCATGGGAAATTGTCCTTGTTATCTCTATAATCAGCCTTTTAGCATTTGTATTAAATCCTATGGTTGTTTTCAAGCACAGATACCAGCAGCAACCATATGTGACATTAATGTTGCTGCATGGTGGCGCAGTTGTTAGCACTGTTGCCTCGCAGCACGAAGGTTGCAGGTTCGAAACTCGGCTGCAGCCTTTCTGCGTGGAGTTGCGTGTTCTCCCCATGCATGTGTGGGTTTCCTCCGGGTACTCTGGTTTCCCCCACAGATCTCAACATGCCCTATAGGTTATAAATTGTAAGTCGCTTTGGATAAAAGCGTCTGCCAAATGAATAAAACACAAACATGTTGATGGCAAAGATTATTAGATAGCAGTACCAAGAAACTAGTGAATGCTTGAGTGTGGAGTTGTTTTAAGTCAGTTCAAATTTAATCTTCAATTGTTTTATCAGTTACCTCAAAGAAAACACATAGAAGGAGGTGTGTCCAAACTTTTGACCTGTTAATTATCTCTCTCTCTCTCTCTCTCTCTCTCTCTCTCTCTATATATATATATATATATATATATATATATATATATATATATATATATATATATATGTATATATATGTATATATATATGTATATATATATATATATATATATATATATATATATATATGTATATATATATGTATATAAGCTTTAAAATCAGATTTTTAAAGCTGAAGAGGTTGGAAAGTTTGTTCCTCAAGATTATGCTCCTGTATGAAAAAAGAATGATTTGTTAGCATCAGATTAATCTTGGTTTGATTTCTTATAGCTGATAAATTTAATTTAGTACAGATTAAAACCTGTATTGGGATTTGTTTGTGACAGCAGGATGTAATTGGCATGAACGCCTGGTAAAAATAGGTGTTAATCTATTGCTTCAGCTAAAGGCCTGTGACATTATTTTCTTATGAGAAAAGCAAGCCCTCCATCTCTTGTGCACTCCATTGATCCATGAAGTCATTTTAACTCCTTTAGATTATTTGACCTTTCCCACTGGCATCTCAATCTTTCTGGGAATTGCTGTTGTTTGTTGTGTTTCGCATTCTTCTCGAGGGTCAGTTCAATTCCCTCGTAACTTCTTACCAAGCCCTGTGGATGGAGAGAGGGAAAGCACAAGGAGGTAAATAATTGGGCTCCATGGTGCTTCACTACAGCCAAAGTCATTCAGTAAATAGGATTTTCCCAGTGTGGATTGTACAAAAGGAGGGCCTTGCTATTGATCTGCATCACTCACTGCTGATGGGTGCTGATCAAAAACCTATTTAAAACCTGCCTTCTTGTATTAGCTGTCAGACGGTGACGATGAAGGAGGAAGAACAGGGGGCTGGAGAGGTGTTGAAATGAGTAAAACAAAAGAAGGAAGACAGAGAAACAAGATAGGGAAGAAAGACAGAAATGTGCATTTAATATTTTAATAAGTTAAACTGATCAACACTCTCAGCTGAGAGGCTTTCATTGGCAGATTGGTAGAAGTACATTTTCATCTCTTAGCTCATCATCATGCTGATGCAATTTTCAGCACCTGTACAATCATCATCTGTCCAGAAGAAGGTGCATTCTCTGTGCAAAACTCTTGCAATAAAATAAAATAACAATCATTAAAAAGAAATAAAAGGTCAGTCCCGGCGTGTTGTCAGAATATCTTGTGATTACAGTTGAAGTAATGATCAGAGGGGAGTGAATTTTATGTTTAGCAGCAAAGCACACTCAGGTGTCAGAGCTTCTCAACAGCTTTAAATACCCGAGTGTTTCAGATGTCTCCAAGAAGCTCAGCTGACCTGCGTGTCTTCCATCTCTCCTCCAGGACTGGCTGAGTAGGTTTGGCTACCTCCCTCCTCCTGACCCAGTGACCGGCCAGCTGCAGACCAAAGAGGCCCTGACCAAGGCCATCAAAGCCATGCAGAAGTTTGGAGGGCTGAAGGAGACCGGAGTCTTGGGTATTTAGCTGTATTCAATTGGGTCAAGTTGTTATTGTTTTGCATGTTGGAGTCGAGATGTTTTGAAGAGCTAGTAAGAGTTTTTGCTGAGGTATTTCTATTTGAGTCAGCATGCTACAGACACAATCAGAACTTCTTCTGTTTTCTCTTTATAGACCAAGCCACTTTGGGACTAATGAAACTGCCGAGATGTTCTCTGCCAGATGTGTCTCAGGCTGAGGGGGCGAAGCGTAGGAGAAGCTTGACTCCTCAGAACAAATGGAACAAGCGGCATCTTTCCTGGAGGTGGGAAACAACAGCATCTGATGTGTGCCATCTTCGTCCATTTATAATGTTGGAGCAGATGAGAAATAATTGGCTCAATTTGTTTAATCATTTTCCAATTCTCTTCATTACCAGTGTAACTCTGAGCTGACCTTGCGGTCTGAGTTTGATTTACTCATCAACCGTACATTACGTTTTCAGCTATCGAGCGGAATTTTTTAAGTAAACTTTTTACATCTAATTACTAAAGATTTAGCTTCTCCCACACGTGTCTAAATGTGTCCCAGCTCACTCTGCCTCCCAGTCAGAAATCTCCAGCAAACGTTTCCTTTGTGTTTCAGGTTTTTGCGAGGAAAGCCTTTTAAAATGAATATTTACTAGTATTAGTTGATTTTTCACATCAAGATGGGGACAGTTGCTCAGGGGCTACCACATCAACACATGCTGCCACTGTAGCTGACACAACACTTAAGCAGGACTTTCTTTTTAAAAAGCATTTTTTAAATAGATAACAGGGTCAGAAGTTACCCTAATGCCATTAATGAATGGTGAGACATTTGGGTGCTGTGCTACCTGTACCTGTCTGTGTCAAACAGTCTTTAATGGGCTTTAACATCATCATCGTCATCCTCCTCTTTCATTAAGCACTGTTTTACGAGTGCTAAACAGTAGATGACAGAATAATAACACGTAAACATCAAACTGATAAAGTAATTAAGATATAGAGGTTCAAACCTAGATTAAAATGAACAATAAATATAAGAAATTAAGACAAGAACTGGGCTGACACCTCAGGGCTAGTGAATAAACTCTGTTTTTTAGCTGATCTAACCTCTGGTTATGCGTAGAAAACTTAAACACAACCCAGTTATTGTTTGAGACAGTCTTTTCATGTCTCTTATTGTACTTGCATGAATATTTTAGGCAAAATTAGACAAGTGCATCACATCGTTTTAGAACTTCAGCCTGAATTTATAAATCCAGTTATTTTCCTGTCACTTAGCATCCTTTGACTGATTAGATGAGAGGACTCTTCCCTGAGCCAAAATCTTCTGCTCTCTTGATCCGTCCTGGCTCAAAGGAACCCGGCCTTCTGAATGTGAGACTCCAACCACACAGACCTTGAAAAACAACAAACAAGACTGTCATCTCGGAAGGATTCCTCATTGAATTTATCAATGAAGCGTTTCCTCTCGATTGCAGCGAAGTGCAGAAAGATTGAGGATAGGTTTGTTAAACCAACTGATAATAAATTAGGTGGCCAAGGCATGCTGCTACTTTAATTAAAGAAATCCTCCTCCTTAAGTCTGTCTACTTTATCTTAAACTAATTTCTGCATTCCACTGGACTCCATTAGTGACACACGGCTAAAATATAATGTAGTTAAAGCCGTAGATCCCCCTGCAGCGCAATTATTCTGTCGTCATTCGTGTTCATGGAACCTAATTCCAAACTGAATTAGTTATGGCTAAATTCACTCATTATAAGCCCTGCCAAGAGGGCTCATTTAGCTCTTCATCTATATTATTTAAGAGGGGTAAAAACGTGGCGCTTACACACAGATCATGCAGATCAACAGCTGAGGACGAATCTGCAGGAGTGTTTTTGAAGATAATCTGAATGCATGCTTCCTTGGAGTTGCTTGTGGAGTCGTATAAAGTTTGTAACTGTGTTGTGAAATGCGTTAAATTTCACTTTACCTATTTGATTTATCTTGTTTAGTGTTGCAGGGAGGGCCGGGGGCCTATCTCAGCTTCCACTGAGTGAAACGGCTCACACCTCATCAGTCAAGTAAAGGGCTAATTCAAAGAGACCGACAGCCACTCGCGCTCTTATTCAACCCTAACCGTGTAGTTACCCTAACATGCATGGACTGTGAAAGGAGCTGAAGTTCTTTGTTGTTGTTGTTTGTTTTTTTAATGCATGATTTTAAATATCTTTAAATAGCAAATGCGCAACCAGGTGCAACCAAAACTCAGCGGAGCTCAGCCAAGCTGCAGCCAAGGCCCGTTTGTCTCTGAGTGTTTAACTTCAGAAATGTTGATCTGCAAACAAAAACCCATCAGAATGCTTTGGAGATGAGAGTTATTGTTGACCTTTCTGGCAGTCTCATCAAAGGAGCTTCTCACCATTCTTTCTTGCTTCTTCCATTCATTACTTCATAGCTCCTGCCTCCTGACTGGATCTTATTAAATGTGCTATCCTGCTGTTTGGCAGCCAATCAATAGCAAATAACCGTGTGACACTAGATCTATGATGGAGCATTCATCAAGGTGTTTGCCCCTTGATAGAATGAAATCTTTGATCACCTGAGAAATGTCATCCTAGAAGGTAAAGGAGGAAGGCAGCAAAGGCAGAGAATGATTATTTTCCTGTTTGAAGTACATTTTCAGGGCTAATGCAACAGTGAGCTTAAAGGAAATATGTAGCTGTGCAATTAAACAATTTAGTATTTCAATTTTGGCTCCTAATGATCATAATAACAATATTCAACAAAAACGATGTTTATTCTTGCTTTCCAAGCATGTCCTTGTTAATTTGTGCCTTCCAAGTCAGTTTGAGTCCTTTTCTTATCTACACTAAAACATAACCCATAACTACACACACCCACACACGTTTGTCGAAGCGTGTGTTGATTCTAGAGTGACTAGTGATGAGCTCTAAACACTGCTCAAGGGGAGAAATACACGCCATACGTTTTTCTAACTCACTTAGAATTGTGACTCCTGTATCAATCAAAATGATTGTGATTTTTTTTTCATAATTAAAGCCGATGACCTTGTAGCACTAACAGAGGGCTGCATGTTTTTGATGTGTTCCTGCTCAGGCACATCTGACTCTTACTGCTGAATCATCTCTGCAGCCTTCACCAAGTTCTGCAGGAGCTGCTCATTACTTGTTTTAATTAAATCTGCAGTGTTCAAGCAGACAAACATCTAAAACCTGTGTGATGGCAGCACACCCCCGCTAACGCTACAACTGGACAAAGCAATAGTCTGATGTAAGGCTATGCTAATCCATTACACAAAAGATAAATTATTTCTTGTTCCCTTGCTTCCTTTTCCACAATTAGCTTGAAGTTTACGACAAACCTGAATTATTTTCAGGTTGAGCTAGCATTCAAGCTTGGTTGGTGTACTAAGTTGACTGCACCCCGTAGTGCATGCTTAGGACTGGGGCACATTCTCATTGATTGACAGCTCAGTCTTGTGGCTACGCAACTCTTCTGGTCAACGCTCTAGGCTCATCTAACGTTTTCATTTTGCTGTAGAGACCAGAGGAGGGACTATACATTATGAAAGAAATACCTATTTTTATAGGGGCCAGTCACATTTAAGCATTTTATGTTCCTTTACGAATGTCCTACCGTAGATTTAAACAGCCCCATGGGGGAAAAAATTATAAATGTTTAGTGGTTCCCAACTAGGGTCCGGGGCCCCAAGGGGGTCCCCACAGTTTTGTCTGTGCTGAGGTTGTGAGGTTAGCAAGATTTTATTTGTTACAAACTACATTTATAAGCTCCCAATAACACACCCCACAGTATAATCAAAACCCCAAATAAATGTTATAACTCGGTAGGCCTGCATTAGGGTTGTAATTGACCGTGTGTGTGTGTGTGTGTGTGTGTGTGTGTGTGTGTGTGTGTGTGTGTGTGTGTGTGTGTGTGTGTGTGTGTGTGTGTGTGTGTGTGTGTGTGTGTGTGTGTGTGTGTGTGTGTGTGTGTGTGTGTGTGTGTGTGTGTGTGTGTAGGAGTTGGGGTGGGGTTGTTGGGTCCCGGCTTGTCTTGGTTTAGGGCAGGGGTGTCAAACTCAAACTCACAAGGGGCCGAAATGAAACTCTGGGACGGAGTCGAGGGCCGAACTTAATATTTTTTGAAAAAGTGACGGCAAATTTGCACATTTTCTTTATCAACATATATGCAATTTTGAACCTTTAAATTTGGAAACAAACATATTTCTGCATTAACACTGAATGTGGAATAACCAAATGACACACGAGCAAGTCAGTTTTAAATAAAAGGCATCAGTGGTATTCATTACTTGTGATATAATCAGCATTTTTAAAATCTATTCAGGATTTATGTTTTCTTGTTTATTCATTTTTCTTATTTTTTATTCTCCTTTTTTTGTCCTATAATAAGTGTCATCGTTGCTGTGACGTCTAGCTTTCCCCACTGAGGAACAATAAAGGGATTTTCTATTCTATTCATCTATCTGCAGCCTTTCCACTTCCTGTTTACTGTAGGTTAAATCTTTTCTCACGTGCCAACAACAAAATAAAAATATAATTTTATCTTAAATGAAAATGCAACATCTCACCTGTTAACTTTCATGTTTTGGAGCAGAAAAAGAGCATAAAACCAACATATTTAAAGCTCAGTTTGTTCCACTGGTTTACTGTGATGCTCACCTGTTCCAGCCAGATACCTGCATCATGGGGTTGATCTGAGCTGAGGAGGAGACTCCTGTTGTTTTCTTCATCTTCATCATAATAATGACAACATTAGATGACAACAGGTGCTCACATAGGTTTGTGCTGATGAACATGTCTGAGCAGCTTGACCACGTTGTTGTGTGTCGGGGAGGAAACACAACCACAGAGTCATGCTGGTTTGAGCGTGTCGCTGTTTGCTGGAGTTATATCAGCTCTGTCTGGAAGTTAGTTTGAAAACTGTCTCTTTCAGTCGTGAACACATTACTGAGCGGCTAGAATCTCCGTTTCTGGGCTTCAACGTCAGAAAACAGCTGAGTGAACTCGGCGCTGAGTGAGAGGAGTGTAGTTTTGTCCGAGACAGCGGAGCTGCAGACACCCAACTACCCCTAACTGCCTCGGCGCTGAAAAAACACAAAGGAGGGGGCGCGTCTGCTCCGCGCTGGCGCCGCAAAGCATCATGGGAGTTGTAGTCTTTGCGGTAAAATCAGCCAGCGGGCCAGTTTTAATATATTTTTGATATTTATCTCGCGGGCCACATAAAAATGCTCCGCGGGCCGCATCTGGCCCGCGGGCCTTGACTCTGACAT